ACTTACATGTATATCCTTGGCAATGCGCGCCCAATCCTGCATGGTCATATTACTAGAATCTAAGAGCTGACTATATTCGGTAACTTGGTAGATGACGCGTCGTTTCTCGCCTTGTACAAATGGCAATACGAGCGGACCCATTGAAGCTGCCGAGCCGAAGCGTAGCTGCGCATAGTTCTCATCGTGTATGTTGGGATATCTGCGTAGCGTTTTCACCAAAGCATTTGGAATGGGCGCTAGAACTGGAAATGCATATAAAACATTAAAGAAATTGCCTTATATTTTTTTAATTGCAAGTTTTTTGTTACCATTATTCTCATTCCGCACCATGCCGATTGTGCCACCCGTATAGATGACACGCACTCGCGCCTCTTTCACCTCACTTGGCAGCAGATTGCCTTCGCTAATATTGCGTTTAATAGGCGGTACCTCAATAGTGGCTAACGGCTGCACTTGCGGTGCGTCCGGCTTATCGATGGATGTCACTGAATTTTGCCGCATTTTCATGAAGAGTCCATCGCTGCGCTCGGAGCACGTGGACGCGTGTCCATTTGTGTTGGATACTTCAATGGTCGGCGAATTGGAATCACTGCCTTGACAGTCTGCAATGACGGTTGCAGTTTTTGGTGGACTGGACATTGCTTGTGAACTTTTCAACTGGAAGAAAGAAGGAGAGGATCTTAAGATATTTAATTTAGGGAATTTTAAAAATATTTTGATGTAAACATCTTTTTTGAGACTGATAAACAATAATAATTTTGAACAACTTAATATTTGAGATACTTTTTTGGCACACGTCGTACATACGAGGGGTACTATTTACATAAGGGTTGGGCGGAGCCGCATTCTTTTTTGATAACAAACATTTTATTTTTTGACTAAGTTATGCATCTATTATTATCTTTTCTAACATTAGATTGAAGAAAAGGATGGTAGAACACCACCCTGACTCAAACTCGTATGGTATCAAATAGCTAGGAATATGTGTACTCCCCAATTCTGTCGAAGCCGGTAGCGTTGCTCAATGCCGCAGACAAGCGCTTCATTCGATAAACCGTACCTGACTTGAAAACAATGAACATTAGCAGAACTAATCATAAACATTGACGGACAAATATTTACTATTTAGATTACACTGAAGAAGACACAATGCAGAAGCCGGTTTGTCTTCAAACCCAAATTGACAAGGGATGCCGGAAAGTCATTCCACAATATGTCATACTCCTACTTTATCGAAAAAACCAACAACCAAAATAAGCCTAAGCTGCCTCTAGAGTCCCACATAACTCTGGCGCGACTAACGTCTATATTCTATAACATAGCAGGTTTCAGTTCTAAAAACTTATCCAGATACTATCGATATACCCAAAACTTTTCGAGGCGTGAATACATCCCTGACGACAGCAATCATTTATTTAATTGCCCCCTTAAAACCATTCAACCACCAACCCTATCCCTTTGTTCCAACCCCGTCGAACAGCATGTTTCCTATTTCTACGGTTCGTTGAGCTTGACGACAACTATTGATGAGCTTTTAAGCCAAAACCGACTGGAGATTTGGATTCATAGCGTCAAAATACATCTCATCAATAGTAAATACAACTTTGTTCTTGTGTACCGGTGTTATCTTTAAGTCTCCCTTTATCCCAATCTCAAACTTAATATTAGTCTCAATTTTAATCTCCACCTTAATCTTAGTCTTAATATCATTCTTAATCTGAACCTTACTTAAATAAAAATATTAATCTCAATCTCAATTTTAGCCTCAACCTCAATCTGAATCTCAATCGAAATCTTAAGTTAATCTTAATTTAAATCTTAGTCTTAATCTAAATCACGCTCAATTATTCTCGCCATTCCCTCTCTTCTTCGGTGCTTCCATGATGCCGTACGACTTTAGAGTTACATAAATAAATCATACTAAAACTGAAGTCACTTATAAAAAAAAATTGAAGAAGCTGGGGTCGTTGGATCGAATCGCACTGAAAGAAGTCTGATGAGGTAATGTGGTGATTTCCGAAATAGCTATCACTTCTACCATTTTCGCAAATTATTGTTGCTTTTCCATAATAAGCTTTACATTAAAAACGGCCTCAAGCTCAATCAAAATTGTTGAATATAATTGTTATAAGGCCATCAATAACAAAAACATACATACATATATACATTAACTAAAAAACTACTGTTGTACCTGTTTTTGTATTAATTGCGTTGAATCTGTGTGGTCCCCAAGCAGTTATATTTCCCACTCTGAATTTGGAGTTAGCTTACTTTAGATCTAAGTAGGTGTGCGATATATATGTACATATGTATGTACCCGTATTGTGTAAAAAAATATTTAAGAATTTTAGCTTGCACATCTCATTTACAATCGCTTGTTAAAACGTAAATATTTATTATTATTTACGTATGTATGTTTGCAATTATTCAACTAACGCTGATAAGTGTAATCTGGTGTATGTATGTACATATGTAATTATGTATGTAGATGTATTGGCTGGTGTACGAAAGATGCTAATTATCAGCGTCTACTAATTTGTCATTTCAGATTTATGTAAGAAAAATTACTCTGAATAATTATCCATATAATTAAACACATATGTATGTATTTGTTAACAAAAGACACCGAGGACCCAAAGTAATGTTTGAAGGCAGCTAAATTTTTATTTTTATTTTTTTAGATATTATTTATTTATATCCAATGCGATAAGCTCAGCTTAAAATTTTAAAGCACGATAATGAAATTCCTCGATCGCTGTAGCCGAGTGGTTTGAGGTGCGTACTTCCACTTGTTCGAACTCTGGTCAAAGAAAAGGGGTTTTTCTTAAAAGCGGTCTCCTCTCGGTCGGCAATGGCAAACCTCCGAGTGTATTTCTGTCATGAAAAATAGCTTCTCATAAAATCCATTAGTTGTGCGGAGGCGGCGTAAAACTGTAGGTCCCTCCAATTTGTGCAATGAGTGCGTTTCGAGTGCTGGTCTTATTTTTTTTTTGTTGTCGGAACTAAATACAACAAAGAACACACGTGCACTGCTGATCTTAGAACGACATAAATTCGCTATGAACACATTTTAAGATCAAGTTCAATAAACTCTTATCATTTGTTTGCATTTTGCTAAATGTTATTGTAACAGAAAAATCAAATATGCACTCACTTTCTATCACTAGGCGACTCTTCGGCGATAAATAAAAGTGCGTTCTTACTAGAACAAGGACGTTCATTGTACATAATTAGTCGCGTGCCTTCGATGCTAACAGCACTAAATAAACTAAACGTTAGGGTGCATCGCTCTCCATATAAACAAAACCGGTGCTGTTTTCCATTGGAAATATAAAATTCATTACATTTTAGCACCCAAATTTATAAAAAAAATAATGAAAACTTAAATCGAAAAAGCTATTTTTTCTGAATGAGACCATAAGAATTCCGCCAAAATATTTTGGAAAATATGTTAAGATTTACGTAAGCTGGACCGATTTGAAAATACCGCCAAAGATCTAGTTTTTTTTTAGTTAAAAAAAAATATTTTTTTCTAAAAAATCACCTCAGATGATAGAAGAGTGTAAACTTAAAAGGTCTGCTTAAAAAGGAAATCTTTAAGTATAATAAATTTTATAATTCCGGTGGACACGAGCAGATGTTTTTCACCAAAAACAGAATTTGTCTTTTCTGCAATTTTGCACTTTTTCACTTTGCTTAGGAAATATTACTAGACTACAGTCACTGTTTGACAAAAGTAAGGAACCAAATTATGGTTCGATGTCATAATTTATTTGTTGACCGATGCGAACACTAATACAAAATTGTAAGCCCACTTTCTTCACATTTTTAATTTTCTTAGTTATGACGTTCTTCCACCAAAAGAAACGATATGTATGTGCATTAGGGTGGTACAGAAATTCATGCGGTGCAGAGCGGAGGGTGGCAGTTTAAAATGTTAAACTCCCACACCCTATACTTTTTCTAAAGAATATCCCTATTTTTTTGTCTAAAAAAATAAAATTCTTGGTCATATTTAGAACTGCCTCAAAGCCCTTGACGTTTTCCATGTATCTATTTTATATGGGGAAAAACACTTTTTAGGAATAGAATTCCTAAGAACTAATATTTTTCGATCGGAAAACTTTGTTTCTCTTCAGGAGATTTCCAATAACAATACCAAATTGTTTATTTAACAATTTTTCAATATTATCTATTCTTATAGGGCCTCCAAAAACTCCAAAAATACAATTTGGGACCCATAAAAATCGTTGGTATTAAAAAGTGGCAAAATAAAAAATCGGGTGTTATTATTGGAAGTCTCTTGAACAGAGTTACCGATTGAAAAATATTAACTTTCAAGAATTCTAAACCATTTACATGAAAAAGTGCTTTTTCCCCTTGCAAAATACATGGAAAACTTCATGGACTCTGAGGCAGTTTTAATATTTTGTTTTTTGTTTTTAATACGGGCATCCTTTTTTCCATTAAGAAAAATCCTAAGCAGTGAGAGCTTAACATTTTAGACTTTTTTCTGGACCACCTTAAAGTGTATTCAGACTCCCCCCATTCACTTTCAAAGCATAACACTAAAAAGCTATTTTTGTACATTTTTATTGTTGACACAAAACACAAATTTAATTTTAGTTGAAATGAATTATCCAAAAACAGTAGCGTAAATATGCTGATAAAACTAACGAAATGTCACCAAATAGATAGTACTTTTTTTACACTTCCCATTTCAATGCAAAGTGATAACCTGATTAAAGGTCACTTGCACTTGCTTCGCGTTTACGCAAAAAAAAATATACGTATATTCTTCTACGCTTCACTTTATCCGTTTATCGCTGAGAATTGGCCTGCAAATTTGTTCATTTTACTTTTTGTCTTATTGAAAGTTTCCTTCGAAGATTCGAGGACTCAGACCTTGTCACGTTTTTTTTTTGTTTACTAGTCACTGTTTTTTTGTTGCACATTAAATGAGCACAAACAAATCAACAAACCTTATAAGTATACACAGAGAATTATTCTCAATATTATACTTGGAAATGATATGCGCGTGGCTGAATTAGGAACGCACAAATATGTATGTGCACTTTTTACTATACAGAAATGATTTGCTTTTTCTTCGCTTACATATGTATGTATGTATGCACATTAGACTGCATCGCCAAAAAAAGTTGCGGTTTTTCCGCAAAAGTTTAAAAAGTCTGCATACAAATATATTAAAATATTTTCAACAGAATCGTAATTATGAGATTTTTGATGCAGTTTTTTAACCTTTGGATTTACGAAAAACTGGAATAACTGTGCCAAAACTATTCTGATTTAGACTTATGGGGTCTCAGTACAAAGGTATTTTCCCACTATTTTTATTTCTGTACAAAAAAAAACTCATTAGCATCCCAATTTTCTTTTTAAATACCTACACATCTTAATTCAACTGGGAATGACAAAGGTGAGAAAATACCTTTCCAATGACACCCCTTAAGTCTAAATCGGAAGAGCTTAGGTTCAGTTATTCAAGTTTTTCTTATACCAATCTTTGAAAAAAGTTAAAAAAACAGCATCAAAAATCACTTAATTACGATTCCGTTTAATTTTTTTTTTACATTTTTTTTTAAATATTTTTATGCAAATTTTTATAGCTTAAACCGTTTTGTCATTTGAGAGATTTTTTTTTTCAAAAAGATCTTTAAGAAGATTTTGATTAATAAAAAACTCAATTTTTGGAGGTATTATCACGTAAATCTTAATATTTTTCCGAAATATTTTGGCGGAAGTCTTAAATATAATAGGTTTTATTAATTCCAATGGAAACACAGCACGGATTTTTTTTTTGTATGGGGAATGATGCACTCTAATATATGTACATATGTATGCATGTAGTATTTATTTTCCACCAACCAAAAAATTACTGTCGAAAATGGCGAAATAACTTTTGTTAATTTCAATGCGTAATATTCTATTTAATTTATTTATAAATAGACAATTTCTAGTTGATGCGCACGTTATCTCGGCGCCTTACATACAGACGCAGCTTTTTTTCTTGTAATAATTTAACGATTTTTCGGCACTTTTACGTATTTCGTTACGTTTTGATAGTGAGCTCACAATACTAAACACCCAACCTGAAGCACTGCGAAAAACCAACTGACTCGCAGAACTCATAGCTATTGACGATGTGCTTTGAGTACTTACTTATCACGTCCAGGGAAAGCATGTTGTTTATTCTCAACAGCAACGGCGCAGTAGTTGGTGTTCTCTTTTTTTTTATAGCTCTAGTAATATTTATTTTAGAGATAATTTGTACCGAAATACGGTAAGCTATTGTATCTTCGTGACATTTTTTAGTTTTTATAAAAGCATAGCGTTGTTCTTGGTATCTTTTAGGTAATACGGCGTTTATATGAGGCGATTTTACAGGCAAATTTTAGTTGAAAGCAACAACCGCCTGGTGTGAACGGCCTTTCAACTAATCGCTTCCAATGAAGTTGGAGGGGTAGTCAACTTTTGATTCAACTAACCGCCTGTTAAATTTCCTAGAAAATCGTCTCATGTGAACAACGCTTAATATTTACAGCTTTGAAATCAACTAATAAGATGTATATAGATATCGCACACCCACTTATGTAGATCTAAAGTGAGCTAACTCAAAATTAAGAGAGGGTAATTTAATTGTTTGTGTAACAAACAAATCGCCCAAAATTTTTTTTGAGCTGAGCAAATGAGTAAAAAAAAATAAAAAAAAATAATACTAATTTTTGAACATTTAATTAAAATTATCCTGGCCAGGATTTTTTCGGCCAACCTACTCGCAAAATATTTATTAATACGTTAAATTTCATAGAACAAAGATTTCATCCATTAAAGAGATGAGTGAAGGTCGTGCCTTTGTCGGATCTTAGACTAATACTCCCATAGTAAAAATGAATACAAAATTTTGTTCTAGTGAGATACTGGTAATCGATACAGCTATGAAGTTTATACATAACATAGAAGAAGAGGTAGCGGTAGTTTCTGCGTACTCAACTTAAAATTTATATTTTTTCCGATTATGACAGTATTGAAGTGTGCGATATGTGCTTTTGCTAAAAGCATGAAAAATATTTTTATAAAAAAATAACGAAACAATTTTATTTTAAAAACATTGTAGATATTTAAAATATCACAATGAACTCAGTTTTGATCGCCAGTGTATGTACATAAAAAATATACTTCTGTGCACTTGATAAACTAAGAATTTTTTATAATTTGTAAATTTTTTACTTTTTATCAAGAACTGGGATTCTAGCACAGAAATCAAAAGCTCTTTTCTTAATAAATTA